AATGGAATATTACAAAATTCTGTTGTTGCAAGTTAAGCATGGACAGAGAGATTGCATAACATCCTTAAGAACTCTGGCCACTATGATATCCCACCTAGGGAGTCAATGGCTCATTTGAGAAAGGTTCTGATCACTTGAATGACATCAAATAATCCAAAATACCAAGAATGTCCAGTTTTATTGAATAAGTTATAATATTCCTCTAACAGCAGTGGAAATCTTTTCCATTGTAAGTAACGCCTGTAGAATTTCTCCTTCTCTAAATCATGATTTTTAGACATTATTACCCGAAAGATAGGAACACTGACATTAAGGGTGGAAGAAGACTACCTGCTCATCATTCTTCTTATTGCAAAATTTCACAATGAAGAGTAACAGGATAAAACACATTAATGCAGAGCTGAATTTCTAGAGTGGGCACCCATTCTGGATCACTGGGTCCAGTTCCCTTTAGTTTCCTTTGTGCCCTCTCAAATCTTATGGGTTGCTCAACTTCATGAAGGGCTGGTGGTACCAGGTTGAGCAGTATTTGCTGCCGTCGGGTGACAGCAAGGAAATCTCAGGCCCAGCTGTCCTCAAAGACAACTGGGTTTTGTAAAGCAAACTCCCCTTATCCAGGTATATACAACAATTTTGTTTGGGGTTTTGATTATGCGTGGGAGAAAGTGAGAATTCCCCTAGTTTGGAAGAGAAGGGTTAAGATTAATGACAATACAGCAGGAGCAACATTTCACAGTTAATGCAGAAGTTTCACTTTTATACAATGGCAGAAGCTACGGGCTCTATAATCATTCATTCATATCCTGCTTCTTCTTCATCACTCAGGAGATTTTATCGCATCTTTAAAATTTCTCTTAGTTCTGGCAGAATTGTATTTTCTACCTTCCTCCAAATCTGAGTAACTCCAAATAATAAAACAACAATTCAATCAAGGCTGCAGTTTATAATTTAAAAAAAAAAAAAAGTTTAACAATTTTTTTAAACTGGGATTGTTTGCGCAGTTTCTCTTAAAAGAACAGAACTGACATGTATGTTTGTATTTCTGCTCAGGCTGAATAACGCACAGCTTTCAATCAGTTAAACACAGTAAGTATAATTCTTCATCATGAATTTCTATCAAAGTCAATGGTAGGATGAATTTGGCTTGCCAGCTTGGTAATTATTACAGATATTATAGTGATGCATGATGACGTTAAGTGCTACTGTAGCTTGAGGACTGGTTAAATTAGAAAATATAAACTTACTGTTTAACAAAAACAGGATGACACTGTTCCCCACATGCTTTTTTTTCTATTCGACCATTAGACTTTAATTTTGCGTTAGTGTCCAGAAGAATAGCAGGCCATTTGTACACAATTATTGCCGTAAACAGATTGGGAGTGTTCAAAAATTCCGGAGAAACAGCTACTGCACATATACAGAGCAGCTCAGCAGAGCACACAGGAAAACCTAAATGGAGAACTTCGCACATGTTCGTGTCATTTGCAATACTCGGCATGTGTTGTAGAAATGGCAGCTGAAATCCATGGCCACGCTGGAAATTAAATGTGGACAAGATGCATCAAGCTGCGTATACATGCACAAGCCACATACAAAGGGCTTATTCATGTACTTCTGCCTGGGAATTCCCAGGCAAAGCATGGGAGCCATAAGCAATTGTTCCTATTAAGATCGTAATCTAGGCTTATAGTTTTTTGAAAAGGAGAATGTTATTGATTAGCATGACTGTATTGAGACACTGTGAAGTATGCTCTCGTTATACTTTGATTTTTTCAAATACACAAATTTTCACCTAAATTTACCCCAAAGCTGAACATCTCAGCCCAGCAATTTTTTCCCCTTGTGCATTTAAGGTATTGTTGCATTAACTTATAACACGCGGGTTAAACAAGAAAACAAAATACTATGACTAATGAATGATTCAAGAAATAATGTTTGTTGGAGACATCATGATTCTTTAAGTAAATATTAGAATGGAAAGGAATAAAAAATGTTTTAGAAATATCTAGTCTTTTATGTCTTCCCATTGAGTTTCACCAAACGCTTGGTGAAACATCCATTCTTGAACGCTTTACAAACGCTCCATTAACACTGGAAGCTCTACACATGCTGAGAATGAAATGAAGGTCGAATATTGTGAATCACCATTCCCCATCGCTGACAGAGTAACAAATTATTGTGAGCAACCACAAAGCAGGCACAGCCTTGGAAGAGGAAATTTCTGAGCAATGTGCTGAAAAGGTTTGACTGCCATCTACAGATAACAGTAATTACTGCACTGGTAGCAATTAAAAAAAAAAAACCAAAAAAACCCAAAAAACTACTACAAGCCTAATAAATGTCCAGTGCAGATATTAAAGCAAAACTAATTATTCAAGTACGTATAAAACAAGGGAGCTAACCTGAAAAGCTCGTCAGGGTTTTTTGTCTGGTAAAAATCAAGCTGCACACAGAAACACCAGCTTCCTTCATTCTCTGGAGTGGTTTGACATCTAATAGGTACAAATCCAGTGTCTACTACTGCCTAAATATAATATTACCAGACATAAATGCAAAGTACTAACGTTCTCCTTTTATTTAAACTAGGATTTAATAAGTGCTGATTTTCATGTAGTAAGTTCTCAGTTAAAACTCTCTTAAATAAGTCCTCTCATACAGTCATTGGTTAGCAAAACCACAAAACTTTAAAATGTATTGTAAATATCTCATCATACATATACTGTCCAAATACTTGTAGGTGTGTATAGCTGTACAAACATCTATTTAGAGTCCTCTGTTAAACTTGGGCTTCCTAACCAGGCTAGTTCTCCCTAGGCAGAACATATGCCAACATATCAACACAAGTAACTGTGTGAAGATTTTCCTTCAGCTGTTCAGAACAGCTAGTGCAGTATTTCAGTTCACTCTAGTCAAACACACCACTTCTCTTTTCATTCTGCCTTAAAGTCACTTTCTTTTCGTCAACAGCTGCTGCCAAGCTGTCTCTGCTTCCTCTCCAAGCCAGATAACTGGCTAAGCAGTTACCCTACTAAAATCCTCTTTCAAAAGTTTTGTTCTAAACTTGCAGAACAATTGCAAGGCAAAAGGAGAAGAGACCAGGAGAGCCATGGATTTTAATAAAAAATAATAATAATAAAAATAAAAATTAAAAAAAGTACTTAGAACCTTTCTAAATAGTATCTCTGTAGTTAAACTAAATTACTATGTTTACATACCACGTGGAATTGTTATAAAGAATTATTCTGCATAGATCAGGATTTCATATACAACTTTAAATGCTGCGTATTTAAACAAAAATCAGCTAGCATACAGAAACGCCCATGGGCCCAGGCTGAAATTATCTTTCTTATTTTCAAAGTCCTTCAGCAGCTAGAACCAAGCATAGTATTGCAGTAGCCAGAGATATCTGACTTCTCAATATTACTGTTGTACATGAATAAGGAAAGCCAATAGTGGCATTTTCATGCTCTTATAACTTAGTAGAAAATTCTTTCTATTTTAATCTCTTACCCTCTGTGATCTTTTCTTGCCTTAAAATTCCCTTTTTTCTCCATCCATGAAGTACATGCCTTTCAGACAGATTTTCTTTATACATAGTTTTCTCAAAATGTATTCTACTTTGGAGGAGAAAGTTTGAAAAACAAAGACTTTAAAATCCTCCCTTCATGCTTAAAATGCTTAGTAGAGACCAACATAAAAAGGAGAGGAGCCGCCTTTATGTAAGGGCATTGAGTGCATTAATATACCTTAATGATTCTGACCAGTCCCCAGCGGGCTGCGCTCCAAGGACCAGCAGCTCTAATTAATCCCAGCCCTGGACCCTTAGTCCCCATCTGGGCTGGTCTCCAGCCATGCCCGTGCCCGTGCTCCCGCCCAACCTTGAGAAGAAACCTACCAGGTTACAATAGAGTCACTGCTTGAAGCCTGGAAGGTAAGAACTGCTCGGCACTACTGAAAATACGCTTGCACATCGGTATATTAAAATTTAAAAGTTATATGTTCATAACATTTCAATAAAGCTGCATTTAAGGGAAAATGGAACAACTTTTAATTTTAGTTCCCATTTAGGTCAACCTTTAAAAATGTCTTTGTTTACATTCTTCCATACATATTTTGGAGATAAGTTGACTTAGACTACTTTCATAAACCCTGAATTTCAGTTGAGTTATATTATACACTTATATACTTCAAGTGAAGTGTTTCCCATCACTGTACCTGCTTTGACTATACATTCTTTGGCAAGTGTGTTTGTAACAGTGTGACATTCAGAGATTCAGTAAATCGGGGAAATTGTGTTCACGGTACCTTCAGAAATAAATAAGTTCACTAATTACTACTGCAGCTAAGTAATTCTAAAGATGATAAAGATATCTTACAAAATAACTAGACCAAAACTGAGAACCAAGGTAGGTCACACAAATAACGCCTCAAAGTGCAACAAATTCTGATTTGGGATACTACTTAACATATGACTTATTTTGGGGGTTTTGAACATGCAGTTAGGCCTCAACTCTTCACCGAACATATAGATATGTTATGAAGATGACCCTCTAAAAACAGATGAAAAAGAAACTCACTGAAAAAAGAAACAAGCTTCTCTGTACTGGAAATGCAACATACTGCCAAATAAATGGGAAAGCACTGGAGATAGATGGAGCACAACATGGATAAGGACAGTTCCATGATATGCAAAATATCTAACAATTCTGGGAACACAGACCATTCAACATTCACTGCAAAGGAAAATAAGAAGCTTTTGCAAAACCTATCATTAGACTGTAAAATGAGCTGCAGAGCTCTCAGTAGCCTTGTTTTGTATAATCTTGATGCATTACCATATGCAAGTCCTTACCTGTGTTATGAGCTATGTGTCCCACATTAAGTCTGCACATCGGAACACCAGTAATCATGCATGTTACAGGTCCCTGGAACACTCCAGCTTTCTGGAGTAACTACACAGAACTATTGTTACTGAATTTAAACTTGGCCTTTTTTCTTACCTGAGTACCCAAACAAGCAACCATCATGTGAGTGAGAAGTTTAGCTGCAAACATTGCACACCTGGTGCAGAAGAGGTGGGAGATAATAGCCAAAGTGAAACCTACACAGACACAAACCAAAAAAAAAAAAAAAAAAGTAAAGCTTAGGCTAATAAAGTGTGCTAGATAAGAACAACAGTGCTGGATATCTCGAAGGTGCTGATCACTAAAAAACAAAAAAAACCCCAGACTTTACAGAGAGATGCTTTGGTTCACACTGGGATCATTCACAAATTTATTACTGAAGTACTAGCATCTGTTTAATTTTTTCATAGGCAAAAATATTTTGCATAATGTAAACAAGTCATTTTTGCAAAGTTGTTTTTTTTTTTTTTAATTTCTTCCCAATATTGATGATTGTCATAACAGTTAAGCATAAAGCAAAGGTAACTCTTCAGTGTTCATATTATTGCGTCCAAAACTGCTTTTAGAAACAAATAAATGAAAAATTTCCTCCAGCTGGGTGGCATTGCTTTGGCAGATAGCTATAACCTTCCAAATGCTAGTCTCCCATGTCGTCTGTGTTCAGTGTAGAAATCTATTATAGCAGTGCTCAGAAAGAACACCACTGCTTTTCATGTCACTAATTCATTGTGAACATGAACAGAAGAGAAACGGGTAGGGCCTCTTACCTATTAGTAAGTAGTTCTGGGAAGAAGGACCCTGGGAAAGCTGAGCCACTAAGAAAAATGCTGCTAAAACTCACGTAGAGTTAGTTGTTTGTCTACTTCCACACCCCAGGAAGGGCAGGAATTTGGATACTTCAGACGTCTTTTATCCCTTCTTGAGACAGACTGGTTGCTCCACTACAAGTATTTGTAAGATATGAATAAAATAAACCATTGCAGAATGAATTATTTCTAAATCTTTTGAAAATTAGTGTTATTTATACAACTATCTAAAAACATTTCAGAAATAATAATATTCTATTTCATCTACTGTGCTATTTTTTAATTTTTTTAAATTCTTTACACCTAGGTGGAGATGTTGGAGAAATAATTAATATCATAGAATCATAGACTCATAGAATTGTCTAGGTTGGAAGAGACCCTTGGGATCATCGAGTCCAACCATCTATCCTACTCTACAAAGTTCTCCCCTTCACCATATCCTCCAACATCACATCTAAATGGCTCTTAAACACATCCAGGGATGGTGACTCAACCCCCTCCCTGGGCAGCCTATTCCAAGGCCCAACCACTCTTTCTGTGAAAAATTCTTTCCTAATGTTCAGTCTAAATCTACCCTGTTGGAGCTTGAAGCCATTCCCTCTCGTTCTGTCATTAATT